AAAAAAAAAAAAAAAAAAAGCTGTAGTATGTGCATGTAACCACTCTCCAAGATGATTGTAAACTGCGTGTACTAATAAAATTACCAAAAAAGGGGCTAGGGATTTAGCTCAGTGGTGCCGCACCTGCCTTGCAAGTGCAAGGTCCTGAGTTTGATCCCTGGTAATGTGGGGTGGGGAGTGGGAGAAAGTGAATTGGTCTCTAGAGATTGGAAAAGGCAAGAAAACTACCCTAGGGAGACTAGTGAAGGATTCTCCCAAGGACGTCCAGGAAAGAACACAGCCATACCAACCTCTTAATTTAAAAAAAATTGATACATAGTAATTGTCTTAGTCTAGTCAAACCCATTTCACACTTCAGGCCTCTAGAATTATAAGAAGTTTGTATTGTTTTAGGACATTAAATCCATAGCTTGTTACTGTATCCATAGTAAACAAATACACCCATTTTCCATACATCACTTGAGATAGAAACAAAATTTATACATACCACTTTAAAATGTATTACTTTTTTTTCTAACTTTCAAGGTTATAAAAGCACAGTTGAGAAAATTTTGGAAATACAAAAAACTGTTGAAAATTTAAAATTAGCCATTTTTCTGCCTCCCACCAAATAATCAGTTAATATTTTGCTATATTTGCACTTAGTTTTTATCTGTACAAATGTATCTTTATTTGTTTGTTTGTTTGTTTTTGGTACTGGGGATTGAACTTGGGACCTTGCACTTTCGAGGCAGGCAAGCAGCACCACTGAGCTAAATCCCCAGTCCTATTTTACGTATTTTTAAATTCTGTTTTTCTACTTAACATCATAACAAATATTTTTCATATTAATTTAAAAACTATAAACATTATTTTAATGGCTATAGATAATAATATAATTTAACCATTTCTGTCACTGAGGTTATTACTAGAGTTTCATTAATAGAACTGATTTTGTGAGAACATCTTTATTAATAGTACCTTCCCTGTGTTTTGGATTTTTAGGGTAGAGGCCTAGGATTGGAAAGATACAGGTCTGGAAAGATGGTTAAGAGGGTGTGACAGAGTTAGAAAAATGGCAGTAGAAACTGCTAGCTGTAGAAAGCTTTGGAGGTATGTGCAGAGTACCTCTGACTGTCCTAAGATGGCTTTCACATCTTAGATTTTATCTTTATGATTTGCGAATAGACTACTAGGGCATTGGATAGGTTTGGAGACGGTGGGTTTTTTTTACAGAGAACTTTTGTGTGAGCACAGGAAATTTGGAAGATAAAAAAGAGTAGTCATTGTGTGTTTCCAAGGAAAGTACTCTTACTTATCCATCCTCTACACTCTGCACTTTTGCAAACCATGTCTTTATTCATGTTTATGTTTTAGTTTATATGAACTGCTTATTTCCATTGTCGCTTGTGTTAACTTTTTAGCTTTGGCTGAAATACTGTCTTCAAAATAAGAAGGCTTCCTGCTTTCTTTTTTATACTGCTAATATAAAACTTCACTCTGTTCTTTCAGTGTTTTGTTAAGATTCATCTCCCTGTTAGGTTGTAAACCACTGAACTGACTTAGCCCAGAGCTTATTTATTTCTGTACTTGTATAGTAATGCAATTTTGAAGGATCATACAGTAGGCAAAAAGCTAAAGAAAACTTCTGTCCAGGAATGTAAGATTTCTTTAGTTCTCTTTTTGTGTTGTTTTTTTTGTTTGTTGGTGTTTGTTTTTGTTTTTTGAGACAGGGCCTTGCTACGTAGTTCAGGCAGTCCTTGAACTCACTGTGTAGCCCAGAGTGGCTTTGAAATTGCGGCAATCTTCCTGTCTCAGTGTCCCAAGTACTGGGATTATAAGCATGTGCCACCAAGCTCAGCTGTTTTGTTTTTTGAGACAAGCTCTCACCTATGTAATTTAGGCTGGCCTTGAACTCATTATTGTAGCCTACCCTGAACTCACAGTGATCCTCCTCAGTCTCCCAAGTGCTGGAATCACAGGCATGCGCCACCATGCCCAGCTGTCCTTCAATTTCATTTAGTCTTCACCCCTACATGTCGGAAGGGTTGAAATTTCAAATAATTTTTCTACATCGCACTGCTGAATTAGTCTTCCCCAAATGCAACTTTCACTACTCACTTAACTTCCATAGGCCTTTATTTTTCAGGACTATAAAGTAAGATAACCATCTTTATAGTAAGCTGGGTAACTGAAAGATATCTTCCTTTAATCATTCTGGATCGTTTCATTAGCTCAGAGGTTGTCATCAGCTCAACATTTCAACTATGGTAGAGTTAAATTCTTCAGCCTGCTCTTAACACCCTCTACTCCCACTCATTAATCGGGTAACACTGTGTGAGCACTGTGATTTCGCTGTTTCTTTGCCCCCCTAAGATTGTAAGCCCTTTCAAAGTCAAGAAATGTGTTTTTGGCTTTTGTTACCCCATCAGAAACATTCCTCTTGGGACTTGTGCATAGTAGCTGTTCAGAGAATTTGAGAATTCATTTAAATGAAATCAAATTGCACCAAGTCTTGGTTGTTATTTTTACACAATTTTTGCCTCATCAGAACCAATGTTAACGAGTTCTGTCATTGAAGAGTGTTTTACTCTTTAGAGTATACCCAGGGCAGTTTGGATATTTGTCCTTGAACTAATATGACTCTGTTTAGGGACTAAGGATGAATATGAGTGGATATCATAGAAGTCTTCAGGGGTCTGGAATAGACTTTATGAACGAGTTGGAACTTTAGCTGGGCTTTCAAGCATAGGCTAAATATTAAGGGTTGGTACCATAGAAATTGAAATCTCATTAAGGGTTGCTGGGGTCTTTGTCGTGTGTGAAATGGGGTTTGTGATACAGCAATGAAGTGATGTGAACTGGAAGAGAAAGGGGCAGGGTATGGAACAGTGAGGTTTACCGTGGGTTAGGGTGGTGGCAGTAGAAAGAAAACCTTAAGTAGAGTAGCAGGGGAAATGTAAAGTGTACCACAAAGTTTGATTTGAATTTTAATTCTGTCAAGTATTAATTGTGAGATACTAGACAGAGTTTAGTGTCTCCATGCCTCAGTTTCCTTGTGTATAAAATAGGGATAATTATATAACTTTTCAGTTTTGCTCTAAGGATTAGATTATAAATGAAACGCATTCAGATTGAACTTATACACGGTAAACTTACTGAGTGATATTTGTTATAAGTACTGATTTTTTTTTCCGTTTTATAATCATTCCTCCTTGTTTCCTCACAATTCTGAATTGTGTTCTTATATACAGTTGTATCCATTGATGATAAATACTTCAGTTCTTGTAAAAAATTGCCTACTATTAAGAATGATTAAATCCTGTCAACACTGTCTGGTAAAATATGACATTGTAAGGATAATGTTTGAAATTGAAGAGAAAGGTAGGTCTTTTTTTTTATACAGTCAGTCTGTTAAAATACATTGTGGGTATGATTGTACACCACTGTAATCCCAGCACTCTGGGAAGTTGAGCCAGAAGGATCACAAGTTTGAGCCCAAGACTGGGTGACTTAATATCTTAGAAAGATCCTGTGTCAAAATAAAAAATTTAAAAAGGTTAGGAATGCAGCTCAGTGTGAAGACTCTAGATTCAGTCTCCAATGCTGCGGGGAAAGTCTCTAGACCATCATTTTTGCCTTTAGTGTTTGGGTGTTAGGTTGAGTTGTTACGTTTCTCTTTTCTTGATTGTGTACTGCTGGGCACTAATCATCTTTTAAATGGTTCGTTAGCTCTGATGATGGCTTTTGCTTCGTTTAATAATGAATTCTGGCAAGACTTCATCATACTATTTGAACATGGTTAATTATACCATGTATTTTTAATTTTCTCTTTTTTCTTTTTTTGTACTGGGGATTGAACTCACGACCTTGCACTTGGGAGGCACGGTTGGTGTCACTGAGCTAAATCCTTGGCCCGATTTCCACTGGTGCCCATATAAAACCTAGTAAGTCCTTTGAGATTGCTCTAGAAAACTTCATTATCTCTGATTGGCTAGAGTGAATTTTTTTTTTTTTCCTGTTTAATACTTTGAGAATGGAAAAAAATGTTCTTTCTCTTATTCCCTCTTTAGAATTTTTCATTTGCCTGGCAAGTTCAATTGATTGGAACAGTAGGAACCCTTAAATTCTGTTAACTATATACTCTTTTCAACTTCACGTTATATAGGCCAGAAAATTATGAACGAAACCTATAGATGTTTTCAAAGCCTAGTTTTCAAAATAGAATGTCTTAATATTTTTCTCTTTGATTTGTAGTCATTGGAATTGGAAGGGGAACAAAAATGTTGACCAGTATGTTGTCAGGGTCCAAGGTAAGAATACTGGAATATTGTTATTTTTTCTTTAATGTTTTTCTTAATGACAGACAAACTATACATGTTGAATTTTATCAATTAAAAAATAAATAATGTAAATTGCATGAACAAGTGTCTTTTCTCAAGACACAATGTCTGCAAACGTATCTGAGATTCAGATATTACAACTATAAGTTAAAAAACCAATTAGACTTAAAGGAGCAAAAATTCAGCCATGTCTATAGTTTTAAAAATTTAGATTTTTCATAGAATCAGATTTCTTAGATGAAAGTAAATTTATAGGTTATAAATTCTTTGGGCTGATTTTTTAACTTTGAAATTTATATAAAACAGTACCATTTTGTAAACCATGCACTCCTAAGCAAAAAGATACTTTGTGTAATGTTTATAAAATGTTTATTAAAGAAAAGAGTAGGGCTTCTTTAAAATGATAAATTATATGCATATATGAAAGTGGACTAGATTCTGAAGCACTTTTTCAGAGACTTGATAGGAGGCGGAGAAGGGATTATGTGAAGACTAGAGAGCCTAGGAAACCGTGGACTACTTCATGCAGTGTTGTAAGGAGCAGCGAAACAGAGCAGGATGTCAGAGTGGTTAACCTCCCTGGGAAAAGTGATCATGTGAGACTTCCAGCTCTAAAAGGGCTAACAGGATTTGTATTTTAGTTAGCAGTTAAGCCTTGGTTATAATAGCCAGGTGAGGGACCATTCAAAATGGCTGTGGAAGGAAGGTTAATATGCCTGTAAATAGAGAAAAATTTCAACAAGTTCTTAGACTAAACTTCCTTTTTTTAAAACCCTTGTGCCAAATGTGATATAAATAGTTGGTAAAGAATTTCTAGTTTGTTGCAGACTGATTGATGCTTGTAAAATATAATTAAACTGTTAGGCAATGTCCAATTGCTAAATAAGTTTCTGAACACCCTCATTTTCTGAGCCTGTCTTGTTAATGGTTACTGACCCCCTGGGTCACAGTTTGAGTGGCAGTAGTCTGAGTAAGTTTTTCTCAAAATAAAATCCCTACTTATCAAAGGGTCTGAAAACCTATACCTTTCTCTTGGACAGGAACTTAGTGCCTTAGATAAATGAAGAATTTCAGTGTGTCTTGCTTTATTATCTTCAAAATATCAGTGTTGAAAAAAAAAATCAACAGAGTACAAAAATTGTGTTAGAATGGAAGCATTTGTTTCCCCAAAAAATTTTTACATTGAGCTAAATGCCAGCACACAGAGTTTATAATTTGTTTCTGGTACAAGTTTTGCCAGTTGGCTAATACTTTTTTCTTAATTCCAAAATAAAAACTATGGTTACTCAACAGGAGAAAATGGATGGTTTTATTTTCTTTTTCACATTATTTGGTATTTTCTAAAATCTTTACATTAATCAAGTCACTTTTATATTCATAACCAAAAATATATTTACATTAAGAAATTTGTGTTAGGTTTTTTTTCCCCAACACAAAATCTAATTCATTAAAATATGTCTTATTCACCACTCCCAATCCAAACAACAAACACAGCGCATATTCTATGTTGTTGGAACAACTTGTAAATTCCAGGCATATTTTCACAAATGTGATGATTGAAAATATAAATACATCACTGGTTCTGGTTTAAATATTGTTACAAACTATTTTGCTCTTCTCCTAGGAAAGCTAAATGTCATACGGTGAAATGACGGATCCTCAGATGGCTATAACAGAAATAGAATAATCCAGGTGTATCTTGTTACAGAAACCAACTTGTTGGGTGTTTCACATTTGAAACATATGCATCATTATCTTGGCAACTGTATTTTTCATACTATTAATTTTATATTATGTATGTGTTGAAAGAAATCATTTACACCTTTTAAATATGTTAAAGGTTACATTTTTGTCAAAAATAATTAAAAACTATTAATGAAAATTATTCTGTTTTTGTTTTAGCACTGTAGGGGATTTTAGAGATCATGTTATCTAATGATTTTCAAAAAGATTTTTTACTAAGAGTAACAGTAAAAATTTCATTTTACATCATGACTATATACACATATATAGAAAGCAAAAATTTTATCAAATGAAACAGTATAGTATAATGTTCTTTCGATATTTTTCCTTTTGTTTCATTTTAAAATTATTAGTGGCTAGCTCAGACTTAATGTTTGACCTTATACATCCTCTTCCTGCCCTTCCTGTGTTTACAGATGAATTTTTATTTGTATTACAGTGCTACTAGAAAAAATAATGCTTTTAGTGTATGTACAGTACATTTGCTTCAAGATCAAAATATTTCATTCTGGAATGGTAATCAATATTAATGTTACAGGGATATTATAATACACCTCTTGCTAGCAGGTCCTGATTGGAGACATTACTAATTGAACATGGGCTAACAGTCTTTCTGCAGAATCAAGAAATAGCATTAAAAACAAAGCAAAACAAAACAAAGCCAGGTGTGGTGGCATATGCCTGTAATCCCAGCACTCTGGGAGGCTGAGGCTGGAGGATCACTGTGAGCTTGAGACCAGCCTGGGCTACATAGTGAGTTCCAGGTTAGTCTTAACTACATAGTGAGACCCTGTCTCAAAAAACAAACAACAAAAAAAAAACCAAACAAACAAAAAAAAAGAAATAGCATTAAAATTCTTCTCAACATACTGCTTCTTCCTGCAGCCACTTCAAACAGCCACTAATTGATGAATGGGACAGTGAACTTTTAAATAAAATCTTTGTACCATTAGGGCATTATTTTGCCACCATCTGTGAAGACTACAGACTGTTCAGACCACCCAACCCTTTTCTTGCTTTTACTCTTATTGAGAACAAGGTTTAAAAATTCAGGAAAGACCCACCTACCCTGTGTTCATCATACTTGTGCTTCTGCTTTGCCAATGATTGTGTTTCTCGAGTTTTTTATTTTGTTTTGTTTTGTTTTTTGAGACAGGGTCTTACTCTGTAGTGGAGACTGACCTGGAACTCACCATGTAGCCCAGGCTGGTCTCGAACTCACAGTGATCCTCCTGCCTCTGCCTCCCGAGTGCTGGGATTACAGGCGTGTGCCACCACGCCCGACTTCTCTTGATTGATTTATTTATTTATTATTTATGTGAGGTTACATGTATAATGTGTTTTTAAAACATCTTTATTTGAGAGTGCGGGGTGTGGTTATTGGCATCTCACTCTAAGCTACATTTCCAGCCTTTTTGTTTTTCATTTTTATATAGGGTCTCATTAAGATATACAAGCCACCTTGAACTTGTGCTCTTCCTGCTTTAGCTTCCCAGGTAGCTGGGATTGCAAGTGTGTACAACCACCAAATCCAGTTTAGAGTGCCTTCTGCCTTCTGTACAGAAATTGCTAAGTAGTAGTGGTATTACTATTCTTGAATATCTCACCTGTCACCATATCTTTTCTCGCCCAAATTCTAGGCATGTTAGATTTCTCTAGCTACATGTCCCATATTAATTTTATTTATCTTTTTATTTTTGTTTTTGTTTTTGGTACTGGGGATTGAACTTAGGCCCTTGTGCTTGTGAGGCAGGCAGCAGAACCACTGAGCCAAATCCCCTGCCCCCATATTAATTTTATACAAGGAAGATTTGCCGGAAATCTTGAGTTCTGTTAGTTTCATCTTTTTTCATTTCTAACTGTGATTTTATTGGCAAAGTTATGACAGTCATCAGGATAAACTTACCAGGTCTTTAAGGGAGAGACAGTTTTTCTGGGCATAAAGTCAGAAAGAAATTGCTTACAATAAGGGACATTGGATAACTGGTGATGGTTTGCAAAAATGTTTTCCAACAGATATAGATCTACATAAGATGTAATTTAGGTAAAATGATTCTGAAAGTTAGGCTAATGTGTACCTTTGACCTAACGTGGCCTAAGTATAGGGTATAGATTATCTTAGGGAAGGCAATAATCTCTCTACCATCTTCCGTAAATTATACTTTTTTGAGTAATATTCAGCAAAAGCTGGATAGCAGATGTTGTACTTTGAAGTAACAGTCTGTGATGAGGTGTTGGTGTGCTGTCTTTAATAGTTTTCTTATATTGATGATTTAAAAAGTTGGTAACTTTATAGATGTTTTAGAAATTAGATGAGCAGACATAAGAGTTGATGTCCTCTTATGAAAACTTGAATCTAATTAGCATTGTCCCAGTATAGGCTAATCGCATATATGGAAAAAAGCCATAGCAGTACCTGCAGGAAAAGCCAGCATTTCCTCAGAAAGCAGGTTTATTATCACCTCCAACAGATGAACAAGTATTGTTGGAGTATATAAAATTTTCTGTCACGGATATATTCAAAGGACAGAAACTTTCCCTAAGAACATTGTAGCATGTTTTAGGTGAACTGGTCCTGAGACCTCTGAAGTGTGACTCAAATAATGCTCCTATGAAACTTAGACAACTCTTTAAAATTTCGGCATTCTCAGTCTTCTCCAGAGGCTAGTCCAATTTGTACCTTTTCTTTATCCTCTATTACTAGCCAAGTATTTTCTAAGTACTATATTGAAAATTTTGAAGGGCTTATACTTACGAACCATAAAGAGATATTTCTTCTTAATGAAGACATTCAAAGGGGTTGGTAGGTCTTCAAAAAATATTCTTTCTATCTAAATAATATGCTTCTTTTTACTTGTGAAAATTTAAATCACAAAGTTTCAGAATCAAGTGTCAGACAAAACAGTTGTTTGAGATAAACATTTTCCTTTCTCCTGAAGGATACAGAAGCGGATTTGCTCTTAGAGATGTCTAGTAATATCTGCTGTGATTACTCAGGGAGCTTGAAGGTGAGTACAGAGTAGGATAGTATTAGTGAGAAATCTTAAGTCCTGAAGAGCACACAGCTCAATGGAATAGTGTGTAGGTCTTCCATCTTTTTATTATAGTGTAGTTATGTTGCAATGAATATAGTAATAGAATTCAAAATTCCCAGGTATATATCCTGGAGAATAAACAACTCTAAAATCACTCTGTAATTTAGGCCAGTGAAAAGAAATACTTCAGACCCCATGGGATAAAAATGATGTGGCTATATGTGTACAGCTTCATGTCTTTTTTCCTTCTGTATCATCTTTGTGGTGGTGAAGCTCTGTTTCAGCTGGAGGATTACCTATCTGGGCAGGTTTTTCTAAGTAGTTTGTGGGTAACTGAATAGAATTGAAGGTTAGCTATTAGATGCCAGGGCAAGGTAAAACTAGAAACAGCTATGATTTAGAGGATTGTTGGTTCAAAAGGTCCTGAGGCTCTTTGGTGGTGGCTGAGGGATCATTGGAGTCATAACTAGTATTCCTGTAGTGTTGCCTTTGTTTACTTTAAACTTTACAGTTGTGCAGTGAAGTTTTTCAGAGGTTACCAAATGTGCAATGATATCATTGCTCTGATGGGAGATGGGATGTGTACACATTAATGTTTTAAATATTTTTCAATTTTAATTTGTAATTAGTAAATATTGACTGGTACACTGTATTGTTTTAAACATCTATGCTGGGGATTTAGCTCAGCAGCTCAGTGGCCTGCCTTGCAAGTGCAAGGACCCGAGTTCAATCCCCAGTACCATAAATAAATAAATAAATAAATAAAAATAAATAAATAAATAAAACAAACAAACAAACAAACACACACATACATACATACATACATCAATCAATCTATGCCAGGGTTTCTCAGTAAGTTTTAAGTTGTGTATAGGGGTTCTGAAACCAAAATGCTTGAGAGCTGCCGCTTTAGCTAGTCTCTCCCCGCAAAATAACCCAAGATGTAGCCAGTTACACGATGGCTGTGGGACCTGGGGTGATTTGAGATTTGATAGATACAAATTAGGGTGAAATGTGCAAACTTGTACACATAAAAACTGCTCCAGTGTGTTTATAATTCTATCAAGAACTTTTTATTAAGCTGCTACCATGTTTCTAGCAAGGAATGCAATAGAACAATAATGCAAAATCCTGATAATTTGAGAAGGTAAGAATCAATATGTAAATTACACTTGGAAAACAGTAGTCACGTATGGGTAGTTATGTGTGAAGCAGTGTATTATGAGGATTTGGTGAGATGAACTGCTGGTGACTGCCCTTGTGTCTGTTATCACCATTCTGCTTCTTCCCCTCTGTGGCTGTTGTTTTCTTGTTATCTCATCCCCTTGCATTGTAACCTCCTGGAGGCCTGAATATAAACTTCTAGTTTATATCTGTGTGTCTCATGTGTCTCATAAATACCTAGAAGAATTCTTTGTAATTCAGAGTCCTTAAGAAACATGGTGGAATGTGTGGATTTGACACAAGCCTTAATTCTTTCTATGTATGAAGTTTGAGCATCTACTCTTGGCAGTGTTTGGGAGATGGGTGATTAGGAGTTGGGTGGATTTTAGAGGGTGGCTTTTGTTTGGGTCAGGGTGGGGGTAAGACAGGACCTCACTTTGTAGCCCAGGCTGGCCTCAAACTCATAGCGATCCTCCTTCCTTAGCCTCTTGAGTGCTAGGATTACAGTACAGGGTGGCTTTGAGAGGCGAACGTGGTTTTGTTATTGGAATCTCCTGGCTTTTGATTCTCCTGGATGGCTATGCCAAAATGTTACTGGATAACTCCTAAAAGTGGCTTGCCAAGTAAATGTACCAGGTTCTGGGTTGCTTGCCTGTCCATTTGGAGTTAGCTTCCAGGTTCTTCTCTTCTTGAACAAAGAATTGAATGAAACAAGCAAAAAGCAGTTGCAAAGTTTATTTGAAAAAGCAGAAGTGAAGAGAGGAAAAACTGGCTCAGCAGAGCAAGCTTGGGCCAAGTAAAAGAGGAAAAAGTGAGATAAATGAACACCCCAGAGAAAGCATGACAGGCTATCATGAAGAAAGCCACGATAGCAAGCTTTTCTTGGTGTCTCTGTTCTTTTATACTGTCCAAATCTTGAGGAAACCTGTGAGAACTTCATACAGGTCCTGAGAGGTCCATCCTATGGAAAACCTGCAGGGCTTTGGGAACTGTTCTGTGCATGTGTTTCAGGGTCTTGTAATTAACATGTCATGCCTCCTTTGCCTTTGCCATGCCCTAATCTCCTATCTCAGTTTGACTCTTAGAGAAGAAAGGGGCTTATAGATATGTTAAGTAGCATGTGCCAAGGCACAGACAACCTAACTGTGTTGGATACTTGGCAAGCTTGTTAAGACTCCTAGGGCAGATTTGTTACATAGCAGAATGGTGCAGATACATTCAAGGGACAGTATACAGGATTGCACTGTTTTCTTGTGTAGATAGGCTCTTAAAGGAAAAAAAATTCCAGAGCAATTAATTGTTTTACTGTTTCGAATATCAACTAACCAGATGAATGAGTCACTCTAACTACTGTTACCTATCAGTCCTTCTGCTCCTCTTGCTGCTTTTCCACCTCTTCCTCCTTTTCTTTCTTCTCTTTCTCTTCTGCCTTCTCTTCCTCCTCATTCTCCTCTTCTCCCCACTCGCTTCTTGTTCTTGTCTTCCTTCCCCCTTCTCCTTATCTTCATTTGATAGAATAATGATAATAGTATCAATATCCATTCATTGTGTACCAGAGCCAGACACTGTTCTAAACTCTCTGCCTCTTCTGAGTCACTTACTGTTAATTTCCTCATTTTAATGCATGGAACTGATGATGGAGCAGTTAAGACTAACTTAACCACCTCTACCCTTCTACTGGAGAGCCAGAATTCAGACCCAGCCAGTTTGAGTTTGAGTGGGAACAGGAGTGGGGAATTACAGGTGATGAGACTCAATGTTCAGTGACAAGAAACTTAATTTTTATTGATCTTGATGACATTTTTAAAATTGTACTTCAAATGCATTGGGACATCCCCTCCTATATTGTATTTGTTTTGTTTTTAACCTAAGTATGTAATATAAAGGTGATTTTATCAAAGGCCCCAGGCTGCTATAAATGTCTTCATGTTTAATGAGATTTAAAGTTTTTAATATTTTTCTGATTTTTGTCTCTGGTCCCTTCATTAGCATAAACATTGTCATTGTTAAACTGACATTTCTGAAAATTACATTGAGCTTTCTTTTTAAAAACTGCTCATATAAGTACAGATTATTTTTAGTGGAAGTAATAGTTTGTGTGCTTTTCTCAGTTCTTTATGTGATGCTTCAAATGAAACTAGAATTTGACCAAAAGTGAGTATTGAAAAAATGCCTAAACAGTGTTCCCTCAGATGAGAAGAGTCCTCTTACCTAAGAATGACCTAATTCTTCATTTGTCAATAATAATCAATTTTGCAAAGTGACTTTCCTTTTGGAGAGCTTTAATGTTAATTTCTGTCTCTCTTGAGTCAGGGTCTTGCTTTGTAGTTCAGGCTGGGCTTGAAATCACTACGTAGTCCACGCTGGCCTTGAACTCATGACAGTCCTCTTGACTGAGGCTCTGGAGTGCTGGGATTACAGACTTGTGCTACCACCATGCCTGGCCAGTTTCTCTTTATTAAGTGTGCTACTTCTGCTGTATTTGTTTTGCTCATTTTCTACACGTTTAGCTCTAGCTTAAATGGATTAGTTACTAAGACTGGTCTTAGTATTTAACATAAGAAGTAGTCAGTTGGCATATTTAAAATTAATTTTAATTGTATGTGTGGTAATATTATTGATTCTTGTCATGGCCATGTCATGGTTTGTTGCATTATTCTCTTTACTCACAGGCATGCAGTTGTCTGGTATATGTGGAGGATTGGTTCCTGAGCCTCTGTGGACACCAAAATCCGTAAATGCTCAAGTCCCTTATAGAAAATGGCGAAGTATTTTGATATAACTTAAATATGCCCTCCTACATACTCATACTGTACTTTAAGTCATCTCTAGATTATTTACAGTACCTAATACAGTGTATTGCTATGTAAATAGTTGTTTTACTATATTGTTTCGAAAACAATGACAAAAGAAGCATGTATGTATTCAGCACTGATAAAGTTTTGGGGGACACTTTCGATCTTGTGGCTCATTGGTTGGATTTATAGATGGCAGAACTTGTGGGTACAGATGGTATTTGAAGTTTTTCCTTAAGAAACAAACTTTTCCATACAAAAATGGTTTTAAAATTTGTTTGCAGTGACAATATGTTTACAAACTATAATTATCAATAAAATCAGGTTTTTTCCTCATGTTGACCAATGTGGGAAGTATGTGAGTTGTTCCTGTTTACACACATGCTTCCTGATGATCAGAAACAAATCAACACAACAGTTTTATTGTATAACTTTTGCCTTCCTTTTGTATCAGGTTGGTAGTATTAGTATAATTCTGTGTAAATGTAAGGCATGTGTGACAGTTTTTTGTTAACTTGTGGACCATTTTTCTTTGTTTCCTTCCTTTAGAGGTATATTGCCATTGGAGAACTGGGGAAAGCCACTGACACGCAAGATTCTACAGGGAAAGTGACAGAAGAGAAACCCTATGGTATTAAGTTCATCTAATGCAGTTCTTTTTAACATTTGACGAAAGTTTTTGTGAATGCACAACTTAAGAGTAAAACTCTTGGGGCTGATGATTTAGCGCCATGGTTCCGCCACCTGCCACGCAAGCTCAGGGTCCCAAGATCGATCTCTAGTACCAAAAAACAAAAAAAAAAGAATAAAACTCTTAGTTGGTATTTCCAGTGATTTTAGTTTTAAATATTTCTTTAGGTTAATAAAATTGGAAATTATCACATTGTTATTTGGTGTGAGTTTATAAATAAACACTTATGATTTTTTTTCTATAATAAAGTTTTATAGTGTTCAGATTTATTTGTTCTTACCAAAAACATTTGAAACTAGGTTTTAGAGTATATTTCCCTAGTAAATGAGAAAGCAGCGATACTATCTTTCTAAATTTTACCTGTCTTGCCTTTTAAAAATAATTACTTCTCAGCTGTTGAAGTAAATATGCCAAGTGTAGTCCTTGAAAGCTCATCATGTTCCTGTGCTTTTGGAGTAAAAAGATACAACAGAGGGAAAGCTAATTTTCTGAAGTAGAGCATGACTCACTAAGGTCTACCTTAATTTTTCTGCCATTCCTTCTTAGCCTGCTTTAAGAACGGATAGATAAATAAATTGGTCTCCTAGCAACTCTCACAGTGCTTCTGCTATTTATAATGCAGGCATTATAAATAGTCAGTTCACCTGAATTATTATGTCGCCAATTGTGAATTATTTGTTAGGCATTTTCCCCCCATGCTTGATGCTATCTGTTCTTCGTTTGGCCATAGGGAGTTTAGTATCTGACTTCTCTGTGTTTTTAGGTCAGTTATCCTTATTATATATTACTAATTACCCCTGTAATGAGTTTGACCTTTTTCTTGTTCATAATAGCTTCACTTATACTGTTAACATTTATGTGTAGCTTAGTATGTTGCTCAATTAGTCATGCAACATAATGAAAGATCACTCTTTCGAAGTCTTTTTAACAATGGGTGTTGAATTGTCCTTGAAATTATTAATAGCACTAGCAAATAATAGCAGACCCTTATTTAATTGAAACCTAACTATAACCTTCAACCAGAAGGCTTTTAGATTTAAGGGGCATAAGGCAATAAGAAAATATCAGAGATTTCCAGAGTATGTAACATGTAGTGGCAGTGTGCATGTGTATGTGATGAAGTCTCCTATATCTTTATCCCCATTTGCCAAGGGTAAATAAGAAAAGTGACTGATATTCAGAGTAATGGCCACAGGATAGTATAGTTTAGGATGGGTTATAGCTCCATGTTGCATAAAGAGGACTAGATTAAGCTAACCCAGGTTTAATTTCTAGCTGTGCCCTCTTCTAGCTTTGTAACCTTAAAAATTGCTTAATCTGTTTATGTTTCAGTTTCTTCCTATCCAAAATGAGGGTTACAGTGTTACTGTGAGGGTTGATTGGAAGAGAATGGATGTTGGGTTCTTGTAGACAGATCATGAGGTGCTTATAGTCTGAGCAGAGATGATGGTAACTTGGACCAGTGTGGGGTGGTAGAGATAGACATAGTGGTTAGTCTGTAAAATTGGTGAGATTTGTTGAGTGTTGATCAGTAGATAGGAATAGTGAGAAATTGTCAGCCATGACGTAGGTTTTTTTAGGTTTTAAAACTGATTACACAGTGCCATAATTCACAGAGTAGGAAATGCATGAAAAGTATTCAGGCTGACAAAAATACTTAAACGCACTCTTTGTTCCTGGCCTTAAGCATTTGGGAATTTTAAAAAACTTTACTCTGTATTGGATAATTTGTAATTTTATTTACTTACCTTTAAGAAAGCTCAGTTTATTAAAATAATCTTATTATAATGTTATAATAAATCATAGAGAAACTAAGTAACTTTCTTCAAGCCCTGTACAGGAGAACTTCATACAGGAGTAGTGTTGGTAATCTCAGAAAAATGAGAGCTCAGGCAGTTATGCAAATTGGCATGATTTTTCTGTGTGCTTTCAATAAATCATCGTATATTCACTAACTATTGAATCCAATGTCATAAGAGGCAAGGGGAAGATAACTGAAAGTAAGATCTAGCTTGTGTTCTTTAAGAACTTACTGTCTAGTGGAGAATTCTGGCCTAGGTTCTCAGTGTTCAGAGAACTAATTCTGAGACCTGTGGCATTTTATATGCCTTTATTATTATCTTGAAATAAAATTCAGAAATATGCTAAATTACATATACATACTTTTTAAAAGTCAATATAATGCAGTAAATGAAATGTAAAAAATAAAGGTAATTTGTAATGAATAGGTTGCTGATATGTAAATATACAACTATTGCAACACTGAAAGTCTTCATGAAGTAATCAGATGTTTACATTTGTACATCAGTTGCTATGCCACAGTGCAAATGCAGACTGATACAGGTATATAAATGTCTCAGTACTAGGAAATTCAGTATATATGAAACTGGGCCAAAAGTACTTTGTGTTTAAATGTAAAATAGAATTAAATTCAAGCCTCAGGTAACTGTAAACAGGCTTTTCTTCTACATGACTGTCTGGCAGACGTCCAGAAGTCAGGCAGTACCCAGGACAGTTCCTCATCGTGTTTTCTGATTGGTATACAGTAGGATAGTGAGCCTGACAGGCCCCCCACTCGTTAAAGATCACTAGACCACTGGTGCCACTGCCTCCCCCTCTCATTGTAACAACACAAATTCAGTTCTTAATGGAGAATTGACTGACATTTAGGTAGAGTAGGAACCAGCAGCCAGTGGTAACTGAGTATTTTTAAATTATTTTGTCCTAGTTTGACAAATACTATTTTTAGCAATTGTATCAGGTAACTGAAAGCTAGAGGAAAAAAAAAAGAGTCATTGGATTTGTATGCTCCAAGTTCAAATCTTAGAAACAGAGCCCTTCCTTTTATTCCCCGTCACAGCATCCTCAATTGTTCATAGAGTTTGTTATTGTTCACAAAGAATCTTTGTGTGTTAATTTATTAAGCTATGGGGCTGAAACCATGTCTCTTTTGGTCCTCCCAGCATTCTTGGTGTATGTGGCTTGTAGAATAAAACAGGATGTGTACAAATAAGGCAGCCCACAGAAGCATTCTCAGAGTAGAAGACTTCCTACCTTTTGTTGTTCTTTTCTTATCTACATCTGGGTATTTAGTCTCTGTTACTGTCTCAGGTGTCTGAGGACACATGGCTCCATTGTGCTCCTCTGAACTCAGGACAGTAGAGTCATGGTCCCCAGGCTAGAAGTGGGCCAAGCTTCTGGGAAAGCCTAACTTTGGCACGAAAATAGTTTTTTCTTCCTCTCATGTGGCTTATTGTGAAGCAAACAGTGTAAAAGTGAAGCGATTATCTCATGCAAATAGTTTGTTCTAAACAGAAATGCTGAGATAGGATGTTATCAAGGTCTTTTCACATTGTACTAGGTGATGTTACATCTAACAGGAGTGTCCTCATCAGTCTGTGTGGTTTGGCTGCCCACATTTTAGGGGCTCGTGGTACAGAAAGCTGAAGAGCTGATTTGATCTCAAATTGTGGTTCAAACTAATAGGGTACATACTGTAAATAGGGCTAGAGGATAGCTGGGTGTCAGTCTTCCTATGGAGCCATTTGCTTTTACTGAAACTTTTTGGTTATGAAGTATTATGCAAGTAAAGGAAAATGAACAACAGGTAAATTTCTGGCTCAGTTAATTATCACAAAGTTACTGTCCTAATCCAGAAATAGAAGATTCCTAGAGATTTCCCTCCTTAATACCCCATCTGAGTCATTATCCGTTCCTTCTTTTCCAAAGATAACTACTGTTCTAACTTCTGAAAGTATGGGTAGGGTTCTTAAACAGTTATGTATGCTTTTTCGGTCTGGGTTCTTAGGCATATATTTGTGAGATTTATCCATAGTGTTAGATCCCAGGCTTTCTTTTCTTGATAAAAATTTGGGTTGTTCCCAGTTTAAGATTTTATGACTAAAACTGCTATATATATTTTGTGCCTATGTAGACACATATACTCATTTCTGTTGGGTTTATACCCATGTGGTGTTGCAGGGCTGTAGGATAGGTGTATATTTAATAATAATGGAAATTGTAAACTGATTTTCCAAAGTGGTCGCATAATTTAATTTTTCTGCTACCAGTGTTGGAATTGCTCTATATCCTTAGCAACATACCATATTGGTAGTGTTTTTAATTTTGGCTATTCTGGTGAGTGTGTACTGGTATTTAATTATGGTTTTAATTTGAGTGCTAATGAGAGTCAGCACTTCGTCATTTGTTTTTTGGCTTATTATTTTTAGTTTATCTTTTGTGCTGTGGATTCACATTGCTGGTCTGCTTTTTCCTTTCCTTTCTCTATTAAGTTGCTTTGTTTTTTTTTTAACTGATTTGTATGAATTCTTTATGCACTTTGGATATGGTCTCAGATATTTTCTCGTACTCTGTAGCTTGCCTTTTCTGTCTCTTCATTGTGTCTTTTGAGAAATAGGCATTCTTAGCTTTAACTGGTGCAGCATATCAAGTTTTTCCTTTATAGTTAGTTTTTTTAGTATCCTGAAAAGAACATTTTTCCTACCTCAAAAGTAAGAAGATATTTTTCTGTGTCCTAGAAGTTCTTATTGGTTTGCCTTTCACCTTATGTCTCATCCAACCATCAGTTCTCTTCTCTGTGGATAGCCAGCTGGCCTTACATTTTTCCCTGCTACTCTGCATGGCCTCCTTTGTAATAGACGAAGCACCATTCAGGCATATATTTGTTTACAGTCTGTTTTGTTACATCAGTCAGTCTGACTATCCTAGCCTTAACCCCAAACTATCTTAACTGCTATAGTTTTAGACTAAGTCTTTTTTTGTTTGTTTGTTTGTTTTTGGGGGGGTACCGGGGATTGAACTCTGGTCCTTGTGCTTGCAAGGCAGGCCACCGAACCGCTGAGCTAAATCCCCAGCCCTGGACTAAGTCTTGATAGATGGAAGAACAAGCCTCCCTATCTTATTTCTTAAAGATTTTTTTT